GGGCGCCCTGGGGTCTCAGGGTCGGGTTTCTTGTGGAAGTTTTTGTTTGTGGAAGGGCTTCCACTGTGGTGCTAAGTCGGGCACGTCCCTCGACAGAAGGAATGCTCAAGCATACTCAACACATGGTCTTGGGACGACGTTTCGAATGTTGTCTGAATTATATGTTGAGCATATGTTGGCTGTGTTTGATCTGTCCTCCAAAATCCGCCTGTGGGAGAACATGCCCGACCTAATATGTTTTCGTCTCCTGTCATTTAACTTTGTGGTGTCGTTTTTGTTTCCAGTCGCGGCTTGTGGAGAAGACCTCGTGCAGTGGAGCGTCCGATCATCATCAGCAGCAGCAACAGGGTCCGGTTTGAGGGCCCCTCCCCTTCCCTCCATGCTCTTCCCTGCTGTTCCGTTGGATATTAGAGTGGGGGTAGCTACATGAATTGAGGGCGGCTCCTCTTCAAAATGGGACTAGCGGACTGGATTATCTTCAGTTGTATGGCCCCACCTTGTCGCATTTGCTTTCGAAACCGAAGTCTCACCTGAATTGCCGACCCAAGGGGAGCCCGTCCTTCAAGGAGTCGCTTCGCGCAGTGAACAGAACAACGGTCGCAGGAGCATATGACAAAGCGTCTGGGGACGGAAGGGTGGATCGCAGCATCGTTGATACATATTGGGCTTGCTCTGGTCCTCCTCTTCCTCCTCCTACTGTTGGAGTCCTCCTTCTCCTCCTCCTGCTATCGTCCTCCTCATCTTGGATGCCTCCTCATCATCCTGGACTCCTCTTCCAGGGACGTTTTCTGCTCGGCCCAGCCCTCCTCGTTTCGATCCCATCCTCAGATGCGGTTTCGCTGAAGGGCTTCGCTAGCACGGGGCGCCTTTTGCAGAGGTGGCCGTTCTGCCCTCTGGGGGGGGTCTGGGGGAGGGGGGGGGGGCCGCCAGCCTTTCCCTCGTCGGCCTGCTCCTGTGCTTCCCGCCCTCGCATCTTGCACCGCACCCCCGGGGCCTGCGACCGCCCGCGCGCCCTTCCTCCCCCCCGCCGATCTCAGGCGGTCGGGCCTCTTCCCTCGCTCCTCCCCCGCGACCGCCCGCGCGCCCTTCCTCCCCCGCCGATCTCCGGCGGTCGGGCCTCTTCCCTCGCTCCTCCCCCGCGGCCGTTCTGTCCTTCCGGTCGCCCCCGCGCCCCGCGCCCGGCGCGCCCCGACGGTGTACCGACCCCCCGCGCCTGCAGCCGCCACCGCGCTGCCGAGGAAAGATGTGGCTGGCGGGGTCTCGGCTCGGCACGAAGGAAATGGGTACTCAGAGCCCCGAATCATCAGGGGTAACTCGGGTCAGGGCTAACTCGGGTTCCTTTTTCGGGAATCCAAACCCGAGTTACCCCGGACCCGAGTTACCCCGGATAACTCGGGCGCCCAAGGTACGGAGAGAATGGGTTCAATGCCCAACAGGACTCGCCGTCCGCGCCTCCGCGGACTGTGGCCATTTGAAACAGAAGGCCGCCTGCCCAACAGCGGCCGCTGGTGGTTTGGGACGCATTTGTTCTTGCATTGTGCCCATGTTTGTCCGTACCCATTTCGGGCGTCCAAAGAGGCTTCTTAGGTGGGGTCCGAGTAGATGGGGTCGGAGGATCGCGCCGCATCGCCGATGCATCGACGAGGCGGCTCGATGTGGAGCCCGTGCTTCCCCACGCCGACGTCACCGTGTTTCCCCACGCCGACGTCTCTGGAGGAGGGGGACGAAGACTGACACAAACATAAAGACTCGGAGATCCGCGCGGACTTCTCGGATCGGCGCTGGAACCCCCCTCCCTGGCGCGCGGGGCGCGCCGGGGGCGGCGCCAGAGGCGCCGCCAGGGGCGTCCAGCGGCGGTCCGAGCAATCCGCGCGGACCTCCGAGTCTTTCATGTCTGTGTCAGTGCTCGTTCCCCTGCTGGAGGAGGCGGGGGTGCCGTGGAGCGCCCCCTGGCGGTTCTCGGCCTCGCTCCCCGCTCCTCGCCCGGGCGAGGGCAGACAACAAGCGAGCAGCGGGCGGGGCCCCAGCAGCGCGGCGGCCACGCCGCGCGGTGGGAGCCCGCGCCCGCGGCGCGGCGACCGCGCTGCCTGCCAGCGGCGTCGCAGGCCTCGTCCTGGAGTTCGGGAGCACGCCGGCGGCTGGCGGCCGTGCGGGTGGTCGTCGGTCGCGCACGTGGCGGGCGCGCCCCGCGGGCACGGCGAGGCTGCGCGCCGCGCGCCGCCGGCCTGCAGCGGGAGAGAGCACCGCGCGGTGAAGCAGCGGGGATCCGGGGTGTCGGGGGCGGCCAAGAGAGGGGTGATGATTAGGGGGGGATATCGTGGCGTCGGCAATGATATTTCCTCTGATTCAATGGCGCCTCTTCTTATTTCAATACGTCCCTGGCCCCCCCCCCTTGGCCGCGCACATGCCGTGGCCATGATTTGCGCCCCCCCCCTCTTGGACGCCCCCATCTGGGCCGCCCCCCGAATGTGGCCGCACGGTTTTAGCGCTTGGGTCGTTCTCTGAGGACGTCTCGGGCACATGGGTCGGGCCGAACGAAAGGGCGGCATAGGGAAAGGGGGGTTTCGAAATCTGCTGCATGCAGCTGGTTTCGGCCCCGCCGCCGGGCACATTCCTTGACACATGGGCGCCAGACGCTGGGAAAATCAGCTACGTGAGCTGATTCTCTACCCTACCCTTTGCTATCCCCCCCTTTCGTTCCTCCCGAATGGGGCCTCCAAGGTCCCCCACAAGCGCGCGGCGCGACGGACCGTGCGGTGAGGCCGTCGGGGTGATTCCGGGGCCACCGCGCGGTCAGTCGCGCCGCACCTTGCCGGGGCCCCGAGAGACGGGGGGAGTCCGACACGCACACCAATTGCGGCGTGGCGCGGCGGCGGATGAAGTCAGCAGCGCTCTTCAGCAACGGGGGGCGCGCAGCACTCACCGTAGACGCGCTAACGATTTTTCTGTTACCGGCCATGTAGGAAAACCAATTGTAGGAAAGCATGGTTCGTGGCCAAACCAATTGTAGGAACGCGTGGTTCGTGCTTTCCTACAACTCGTTGTGCCGATTTCGTTCGATACATTCGCATGTTTGACATGTAGGAAACGGTGTTTCGCGGTTTTCTACCATTTGTTCTGCGCGAGCTCGGCGTCACAAAAGTCGGATTCCCAACATCGCCGTTAGCCAACATCGCCGTCAGCGCGGCCTTGGACTCCGGAGGGAAACAAAAAGAACAGGGGCGAGAGGTGGCACGCCCGAGGACAGGTTGGCGGCGTGCCAGCTAAAAGACGAGGGCGGCGCGGGAGGCTGGTCGCAGGCAGCGGCCCCGCGGGTCCGTCCCCGCATGTTCCACCATTCGGCTTATGATGTTCCAACCTACTTTAGCCCTGATCACCAGAAATAATTTCAAGCACCAGGGAAAAGTACCGAAACTCGAGGGTGTTCACGTGTCGGGCCCTGGGAGACACTCGTCCGACACTGCTTCGACACGGTGTCGATACTCTTTCGATGCTTTTCTGGGTCCTCGAAATTATTTCTGGGATGTGGTCCTTAAGTACGATGGGAGCAACATAACATTCAGCCCTTCATGTGCTTCTCTCCCACACACACACACTGTTCCTGAGCTCCTCTCTTGTCTTGGTCCTAGTCCTCCTCCTGCCCCCCATCCCACCTCTCCTCACGTCCCACTCACCCCTCCTCGCACTCGCACCCCATGGCCGGCCGAAAGTGGATCGAAGGCGGGCGAAGGACAGTTTGAAATATATGTGCACGCTTGCTTGCAACAAGTTCAGTGGCATAAGCTTGGAGGCACCCGCCTTCTGTTTCATGAGGGGCTCTGGACGAGTCGGCGGGTACCCGTCTGAGGTAGGGTTGGACCGCGTTGACGCGCTGGCGACCCCAACGCGGGTGTGGCCCAGAATAGGTTCATATCGAGCAAGATGCGTTATCGGAAAGTTGCGAATGCATCAAGGTTGAACGATCCACGCGGTATCAGAAACTAACGCCGACATCATTCATACTTGTCGTGGCTACACTGTCGCCCAGCATCGTTCGGCCTCTGTCCGCGCTTGAGGCTGGATCGGTCGAGGTAGGTCGTCTCCTGTATCTTGTCCTCTTTGTGCGTTCCGTCGATGGCCTTCGTCTCAGAGCTAAAATACGGGAACGAAAAATGACAAGCATAAAAACTCGGAGGTCCGCGCGGATTTCTTGGATCCGCACTGGACCCCCCTCCCTGGCGCGCGGAGCGCGCCAGGGGCGGCGCCGGAGGCGCCGCCAGGGGGCCCCAGCGCCGATCCGAGAAATCCGCGCGGACCTCCGAGTTGTTATGTCTATGTCATTGTTCGCTGCCTTATTCAAAGCGGAAAGGACCTTCAAGGGTGTCCGCAGTTCGGTCGGATCGGATGCGTCGCGGTCGGCTTCGTTTGGTCGGTCTGATTCGGTCGGTTGTTGTTGTGCCGTTGCTGCGTCGCTGCGCTCGCCTAAGGTCGCCTGCGGCCTGCGGGTGTCGGTCGGTTTCGGTCTCGCTGTCAGTCCGGCCGGCTTTGAGCTGCGCGCTCTATCGCCGTAGACGGCCTCGTTCTTTCTCTCTGATAATGATGTTCCAACCTACTTCAGCCTTGACCACCAGAAGGAATTTCGAGCACCAAGAAAGTACCGGAATTGGAGGGTATTCACGTGTCGGGCCTTGGGAGGCGATACTCGCTCGACCCTGTTTCGAAGTTTTTGTTAGTCTGGGTGCTCGAAGTGTTATTTCTGGGACGTGGCCCTTAAGTACGATGGGAGCAACATAACTCCCAGAGCTGATCGAACCCAACTGAGGCGTTCCAAAGAGGCCTTGCCTTCGAGGATAGCAAGAGTTGTCATCTCTTCCGCCGTGAAGGCGGCGGAACGAGGCCGCCTCCGCCGGCGGAAGCCGGCGGAAGCTCGGCGGAAGGCGGCGGAAGTGAAAAATGCGTCCCCAAGAGATGAATACGTTTTTGGGCACAGGGTTCCTGAAATCCGCCAACTGAGCCCCGAGGTCCTCATCGGCACGGAGCTCGACGAGGACGGCCAGCGCGACGCCCTCTTCGCGGCGGCCACGCCTCCCCAGCCTGGGGAGGACGGCGAGCCGGTGGAGGCGCCGAAGGACGGCTCGTCCAGCGAAGCCTTTCGCATCTTCCTCCTCCTCCTTCTCCTCCACCTCCTCTTCCTTCTCCTCCTCCTCCTCCTCCTCCTCCTGCTCCTCCTCCTCCTGCTCCTCCTCCTCCTCCTCCTCCTCCTCCTCCTCCTCCTCCTCCTCCTCCTCCTCCTCCTCCTCCTCCTCCTCCTCCTCCTCCTCCCTCTCGCGCAGGTATGAAGGCCATTGGATATCCCAGCGTACGCTGGCCGATTGTCATGCAGGCCACTTCCTCATATGCTGTCTCCAGTTGTCCTTCTATGTTGCGTATCCCTCTCCAGCTTCCTCCGCCGACAAAATTGCCCACCCTCCACCTGCTGCGCACCATGGGGAGCTGGTGAACTGACGCAGCAGCAGAAGCAGAGGAGGAAGATCGGACGGGGCTACGTCGAGGATAGATCCGTTCCAGAGCAGTCCAGAACGCTCTCAGAACGTTCCGGAACGCTCTGAGAGGGCCGCGGTGCCCGTCCAGTTTCGCCGGATTTCAGAGATTCTCGATTCATCCTCACCCGATGTCATCCTCGTCTTGACTTCGTCTTAAAGGAAAGGAGGAGGAGGAGGAGGAGAAGGAAAGGGGACAATCTGGGCCTCCAGGATGTGATCCGAGCACATGGGGTCGGAGGATCGCGCCGTATCGCCGATGCATCGGCGATGCGGCTCGATGCGGAGCCCGACTTTCTCCACGCCGGCGGCGCCGATACATCGCCGGCGTCGCCGATGCGTCGGCGATGCATCGGCAATACATCGGCGATGCATCGGCGATGCAGCACCATCCTCCGGCCCCATCTACTCGCACCCCATTTGGGAGGCATGAAGGCAATTGTGAACTTTAAACGAGGACAGAAAGTGAAGAGGTCGAGGGGAGGGGAGGAAGGAAGGAGGGGAGGAGGGGAGGGGAGGGGAGGAGGGGAGGGGAGGGGAGGAGGGGAGGAGGGGAAGGAAGGGAGGGGAGGGGAGGAGGGGACAGAAGTGAAGGGGGAGGGGAGGGGAGGAGGGGAAGGAAGGAGAATGGGGCGGGAAGGGGGCCAGGAGGGGGTAAGTGGGGAAGGCAGAGGGGAAATCCTGGCTGCCCACTCCTCATCATCGGCATCCTCTCCCTCCTCCTTCTCCTCAAACTCGTCCTCCGCCTCCCTATCCCCCTACCTTATCATCCTCGTCCTCCGCCTCCCTATCCCCCTACCTCTCCTCGTTGTCCTTGTCCTCCTACTCCTCCCCTTCCTCCATCCTACTCTTCCCCCATCCTTCCCCTCCTCATCCTCCTCCCCCCTTTTTCGTTGTCCTCGTCCTCCTCTCTCATCGTCCCTCCTCGTCCTTTTGCTCATTCTCCATCCTCCCACCCCCCTGTCCTCCTCACCATCATGCTCGAATGCTGCGCGCTGCAGCAGGCATTCGATGGCAGCACCTGGTGGAAATCCCGATGCTGGGTTATGAAGGCCGGTTGCGATCCCCTCGCCTGCCAAGCCGTCCTGTCCGTGGCCCTCCGCTGCGCGTGCCTGCCCCCTCCCCCCCCCCGGTCCTGCTGTGCCGGTTCTGTGCCGTGCCGCGCCGCTGTTCACTCGGGGGCCCCCAAACCGGGGTGGTGACCACACCGTGTGGCGAGTCGGTGGGGATCCGGGGGTCACCGCACGGTTTGGGGACCTGGGTCGTTCTCCGAGGATGTCTCGGGCGACTGGGGCCTCCAGGGTCCCAAGACCGTGCGGTGACGGACTGTGCGGTGAGGTCTCTTGGGGTTCCGAGGTCACCGCACGGACTGTCACCACACGGTTTTGGGATCCCCGATTCACTCGGGTCGCCGTGGCCTAATAGTTTGGATATGAGGTCTGGGGAGGGGTCTGGGGCCTGCTGGAGCAATTCCGCTCGCTGCGCGCGCGTCCGCCCCATTCCTGGCCGTGCCGCGCCGATTCCGCGCTGCGCCTTCCGCAGGTCGTACTGGGAACGCCGATCATACTGCGGAGCACCCTGGCCTTGCCGTGCGTGTCCTCCGCCACCCTGAAGTCTTGTCGACTCGTCGTGTCCTCCGCCACCCTGAAGTCTTGTCCCGCCGCGTACCGTTACTCATCCACGTGCGTGGGTTGGCGCCTTCTTGGCGGCTTCCTCCTTCTGTGGCCTGGCCCTCTCGAATTCTTTGGCATCGCGCCCCTCTGCCGTTCATTGACACGCCCTCTGGACTTTTCCTTGCGGGCCGCCGAACAAAAAAGTACCGTTACTCATGTGGCCAGGGGCTGTCCCCCGGAGGGGGGTTGCTCCTCCTCCTCCTCCTCCTCCTCCTCCTCCTCCTCCTCCTCCTCCTCCTCCTCCTCCCTGGCCAAGTCGATGCTGTCTGGGCTGGTGGGGCCGGGCACTTCGGCCCTCTGCGGCCCAGCTTTGAGAGGTTGCTGTCCGGTCGCACGGAGGGCCGGCCCTCCTGGGGCCTCAGGGCCGTTCCTTCCGCTGTGCGCGTTCGCCCCCCCGCGGTCCGCGCCACGCTGTTTTGTGCCGAGCCGCTCCGTTACCAGTTGGTCACCACCCACCAAACCACCCCAACCCAACCCGAAGGCTCAGTTTTACCCACGATTTCTAGTAGGGGGGGTCGGGAAACATCGAGAAAACACGCGTGGAACCCGTACCCCCCCAACCCGAAATTCGGGTCTTCGGGTTGGGTTGGGGTGGTCTGGCAGGTAGTCAGTTGGCACGCCGTGACCCCGCCAGGTGTATGTACGAGTAGTGACTGGCGTGTGAGATCACACACACACCACCCGATCAGGACATGAGAAGTCTTGTGACTTTTGGTGCGGCCTCTGGATACGCTTGCTTAGGACCGTTTCTCCATGCGGCGCTCGCGAAGCGTTGAGGCTCTGGATGACCTTCTCGCCGAGAAGTTTCCCGCTGGCCAGTGGCGAATGAGTTACGGCCATGTCTCTGATTTTGAGAACGTGGCTTACTGTCGGAAGACTACTGGACTGATTCTCTCTTGCAAGCTTTTACGGTATCCGGAGTCCCACATTATCCTTCCACCACCTCCTCCGCCTCATCCACATCTACATCTACATCATCATCATCATCATCATCATCATCATCATCATCATCATCATCATCATCATCATCATCATCGTCATCGTCATCGTCATCGTCATCGTCGTCGTCATTATCAACATCAGCATCAGCATCAGCATCATCATCATCATCATCATCATCATCATCATCATCATCATCCGCGTCCGCATCCGCATCATCATCAGCAGCATCATCATCGTCATTATCATCTCCATCGTCATCATCAGCATCATCGGAATCGTCATCATCAGCAGCAGCATCATTAGCATCATCATCATCATCATCATCATGATCATCATCATCGTCATCATCATCATTATGATTACTAGTATCAGTATCATTAGTTATCATTGGTATTAGAATCAGCACTATCATTAGCAGCTTCATCTTCACCTGTCGCCTACCGCCTCCCCCTCCCACCTGCCCGTCCATCTCTTCTCTCCCAACTTCCTCCTCCGTCCACACTTGCCCCTGCTTCTTCCTTCTCCTCCAAGCCCTCGTTCCAGAATCTCCCTGGAGTGCGTTGTGGGGTTGATGTTAAAGGAGACCAACCGTGGCGACGAGAAGCCTACAGCAGGCACAAAAACGAGAAGCGTATCCAAAATGTTGATCAACGAGCCTCGCTCATCCTTGTTCCTCGCTTTTTCTCCTCGCTTCAAGCTCCTCCTCCTATTCGCCGTCATCATCAGCAGCAGCAGTATCCTCAACAGCATTCGCAACAGCAGTATCATACTCATCCTCCTCACATTCTTCATCATCACCAGCATCATAATCGTCGTTACCATCATAGACAGTATCATTGTCATCGTCGTCGTGGCCATCGCCATTGATCATCAGCATCAGCATTATCATTATCATAGTCATCATCGTCAGCATCATCAACGTCGTCATGATCGTCACCATCACCCATCGACATCATCATGACCAACGCCCAGAGTCCACAATACAACATCCATCATACGTTAACATCAGCATAATCATGATCAGCAGCAGCAACAGCATCATGGTCTTCGTCATCATCAACAGCATCATCAGTAGCATCAGCATCATCGCCATCGTCACCGTCGTCATCATCATCAGCATCATCAGCAGCAGCATCATCATCAATACCATCATCATCAGCAGCATCTGCATCACCACCATCACCATCAGCCGCAGCATCAGCACCAGCATCAGCATCAGCATCACCCATCGTCATCGTCCTCGCCCTCGCCCCTCCTCGTCAGCAGCAGCATCATCAGCAGCAGAAGAGGATCATCATCATCATGATCATCAGCAGCAGCAGCATCATCAGCAGCAGCAGCATCATCATTACCATCGTCATCGTCGTCGTCACCATCAGCACCGCCCGCAGCCTCGAGCAGGACGTCGGCGCCCTGCTGAGGTCAAGCGCCGGAGACCTCCCGTTCGCGGAGTGGGCCACGCAGCACATGGAGGCGACCAGCGCCGGCAGCGCCCCTCCCGGCCAGGAGGAGGAGGAGGAGGAGGAGGAGGAGGAGAAAGAGAAAGAGGAGTAGGAGGAGGAGGAGGAGGAGGAGGAGGAGGAGGAGGAGGAGGAGCTGAGGAGGAGGAGGAGGAGGAGTCGTGTTAGTTTTATGTGTTCGAACGTTTTCGTAGGTTCCCAGCGTCTGTCCAGCCTCGGGATACCTTCCAGCAGCTGCGCCTCGCCGAGAGGCTTCCGGAAGAGCTGGGATCGTCCCGAACGGCTGCTCGAGAGCCGATCTATGACCCGAGAACTAGCGCCAGTGGCGCCCCTCCCGGCCAGGAGAAGGGGGAGGAGGAGGAGGAGGAGGAGGAGGAGGAGGAGGAGGAGGAGGAAGAGGAGGAGGAGGAGGAGGAGGACCCTGAACAAAAAATTGCATAAACATGAACTTTGAGCGCTCCACGCGGATTTCTTGGATCTGCGTTTGCCCGGAGGAGGGTCTCATGTTCCTGAAGGCTGTTCTTCTCTCTGGTCCGGCCGTATGCTTTATATTTGCTTCGCGACGTCGGATCTCAGGGGAGGGAGGAGGCCTGCTGCCTTTCGCTCACTGTTTGCAGCAGCTGCCTGCATGTGCGTCCATGTTTCTGGATTTCTTCCCACGGGAGGTTTATGCACAGGGAGTGCCTGCGTTGCTGCACGTTCACCTTGCGAACGACCTTGACAGCCTTGGAGGAGGAGGAGCAGGAGGAGGAGGAGGAGGAGGAGAAGGGGAGGAGAAGGGAGGAGGAGAAGGAGGAGGGAGGGAGGGAGGGAGGGAGGGAGGGAGGAGGAGGAGGAGGAGGAGGAGGAGGAGGAGGAGGAGGAGGAGGGGGAGGAGGGAGGAGGAGGAGGGTGCGCGTGTGGCCCGACAAGTGCCTACATGACGGAATTGGCGGGTGCGAAACGATTGGTGGATAGTTCTGATATGCGAGCGCGTGGCCAGTAAAGTATGATTTTACAGAACGGCAATTAGCCTGGCGAAGGACCCAACCATATGCAGTTATAGAGAGTGCCGCAATTGTGAGTACGATCTGAGGCCCGAATGTGGGCTGTGTCGCTGGGGCCGTAGGTGGAGCTCCCTGTGGTGCCACGAAACGTGTGAGGGGTGTGCAGGGAGAGTCGCCCACATGCGGGCTGCGCCACCGGGCCTCAGGTGGAGCTCCCTGTGGGGCCAGGAACAGTGTGAGGAATGTGCCGAAACGGGGGTGACGCCCACATGCGAACGGTGCCACTGGTGTCGTGGGTGATTTTGCCCATGGGGCCACGAAACGTGTGAGGGGTGTGCCGACACGGGGGCGACGCCCGCATGCGAACGGTGCCACTGGGACCTTCGTTGGAGCTCCCTATGGGGCCACGAAACGTGTGAGGGGTGGGCCGAAGCGGGGGTGACGCCCACATGCGAACGGTGCCACTGGGGCCGTGCGTGGAGTTGCTTATGGGGCCACGAAACGTGTGAAGGGTGTGCCGACACGGGGGCGACGCCCGCATGTTAACGGTGCCATTTGGGCCGTAGGTGGAGCTGCTTATGGGGCCACGGAGCGAGTGAGGGGTGTGTCGAAACGGGGGTGACGCCCACATGCGAACGGTGCCACTGGGGCCGTAGGTGGAGCTGCCTATGGGGCCACGAAACGTGTGAGGGGTGTGCCGAAAAGGGGTGACGCCGAACGGTGCCACTGGGCCTGAGCTAGAGCTCCTTATGGGGCCACGAAGCGTGTAAGGGGTGTGCCGAAACGGGGGTAGCGATGACGATCACGATGCTGATGGTGATGATAATAATGGTGATGATGATGACGATGAGGATGACATGCGAAGAGCAGAGGCAGGGATGGGAGGAGGGAGGAGGGGGAGGAGGAGGAGTGAGGAGGGAGACGCGGGGCGCTGTCTCTTCAAAACGAGGACCCAACACCATAAGCTGGCTGGGAATAGATGTTGTTGCCTCGACATGTTAACTTTCGCAAGCGCGCGCTCGTTCTGATTTACTGATTGAAGTCACATGCGTTGTTCCATGTGTTTTTTGAAGAGCACATGCTTCAAATTGCTAGGAACCCGATTGTTTGCTCATGGCGCTGATTTGCGAGCATGGCGCGCGCACGTGTTGCCCGTAGTGTGCCAATTGACACATATTCATGGAACGTGCGTTCGTAAGAACAAAGCGAGGTAGATGTCACACGTGTGTGATTTTTAGCTTGGTCGCGCATGTGTGTACTTTAATGCGTTGCAAACTAACTCTCAGCTAGCTTTCGTTTTCCCTTAGCATAACCCCGAACATTGCTCATCAGCTGCGTACTACTACGACTCCTCCCCCATACGGAGCTCCACCGACGGCCCCATGCAGTGCTACCGCCCGCATGCGTCCCCCCCACACACACACACAGTACAGCGCGTCGTGGCCTCAGAGCGAGCTCCACCGACGGCGCCACTGGCACTTTCCGCACGCGTCGTCCCCACCCAGTACAACGTTTCGTGGCCCGAGAGGGAGCTCCACCCACGGCGCCAGGGCTACCGCCCGCATGCGCTTCCCCCACCCAGTACAGCGCTTCGTGACCCCATACAGAGCTCCACCGGAAGTCCCAGTGCTACCGCCCGCATGCGTCCCCCCCCCACCTAGTACAGCGCGTCGTGGCCCCAGAGGGAGCTCCACCGACGGCGCCACTGGCACGGTACGCATGCGCTTCCCCCACCCAGTACAGCGTTTCGGGGCCCTACAGGGAGCTCCACCGAAGGCCCCAGTGGCACTTTCCGCATGCGTCCCCCCCACCCAGGAGAGCGGTTCGTGTCCCCATGGGAAACTCCACCGAAGGCCACAGATTCACCGTCTGCGTGCGTCTCCCCTGACCTAGAAGCGCCTCGTGGCCCCATGGGAAGCTCCACCGAAGGCCCCAGTGGAACCGTCCGCATGCCCCATAGGCAGCTCCACCGAAGGCCTCAGAGGCAAAGCTTGCATGCGTCCCCCCCAACCCAATGCAGCGCCTCGTGGCCCCATGAGGATCGGGGGTGGACAGACCTCGTCCCTGACACGTCGATTAGCGAATTCGCCGTTCTCGGTTCGCGAGAAGGCGTCGCGGCCGTCATTTTTGCGGGTCAAGGTTCGTCGGTTTCGGTCCCAGGCGGTTTTCATTCAAGGGTGGTTTTGCTAAAGGGAGGTTTGCCCACCGCCGAACGGAGCTCCACCGAGGACGATGCCCACAACCGCGGCGCTCACAGCTGTATCTGGTGACGTCCTGCGCCAGGCGGAGTGGTTTCCGACAGGCGTGATGGGGCCACCCAGCAAAATGTCGCTGCCGGCCAGCTCCGCGGCAGCGTGGGGCCATTCGTGGGCCTACGCCGCACCGCCGACCCCTCCGGGGTCTCCTGGCAGGTCTCTCGGGGGCCTCCTGGCAGCACTTTTGAGGCCTTTCAGGGGCCGTCTTGGAGCCTCCTGGGGCCTCTCTTGGGCCTCTGGTGGGCCGCTACCGGCCGGTTGTGGGGCAGAGTGGGGTCATACACCAAGAAGGAAGAAGGACTGGGTAGGGCGGGGTAAGGTAGAGTTGAGCAGGGTCGAGCAGAGCACAGTCGAGCAGGGCAGATGGTAGAGTAGCGTCGGGAAGATCCGAGCAGAGTGGAGGGGAGTCCACCCAAGTCCAGTTTTGTTGGCCGTAGCCCGGTCTACGTCAGCACGATGCGATCTGGTTGGTGGAAGGGGAGGTGGAGGAGTAGGTGGAGGATGAGGCGGAGGGAGGTGGAGGGAGGGATTGCCTCACGATGGCCCAAGACGGCCTAAGCGGCCCCCAAGAGGCTTCCAAGATTGCCCAGGAGGAAGAGGAGGAGGAGGATGAAAAGGAGGAGGTGGAGGAGGAGGAAGAGGAGGAGGAGGAGGAGGGAGGAGGAGGAGGAGGAGGAGGGAGCGGGAGGAGGAGAGAGGAGGTGGGAGGAGGAGGAGTGGGGCCTAGTGGGCTCCCCCTGAGGCCTCCGGGGGGGCCTCTGAGAGGCCTCGTGGGCTTTCTTGGGAGCCTCTTGCGCCGGAAGACTCGAAGTGTTGGGTCGGGTTCCTTCTCTGGGGCTTCTGTTGGGGCCGTCTTGGGGCCCTCTCGGAGCGCCTTGGGTGCCTCCGAGGTAGTCCTGGAGCCCTCTTGGGCCGTCTTGGGGCCCTCTTGAGTAGCCTTGGGGCTCCTTGGGCAGTTTTGGGGCGCTCTTGGGAGCCTCTTTGGCCGTCTTGGTGCGATCTTGGGGGCCTCTTGGGCCGTCTTGGAGCGTCGGAAGCCCGAAAAGGCGAGCATGTCCAAATCCGTCAAAAACTAGAGGAAAACATACGATTTTGGCCTTATGAGCCCCTCTTGGGGGTGCTGTTGGAGTGCTCTTGGGGCCTCTTGGGGGGCCTTTTGGGCGTTCTTCGGGCCTCTTGGGAACTCTTGGAGACGTCTTGGGCCGTCTTAGAGGCCTCTTGAAGGCATCTTGGGCCGTCATGACGCCATCTTGGGCCGTCTTGGGTACATCTTGTTGGCCGTCTTCGAAATATCTTGCAGCAATCTTGGGCTCTCTGGCATCAGGGGTGGTACTCTGTTGTGTTTCCCACGACCCGACCCACCCCCCGGAAAACGGAGCACAGCGCGTCCCCCCCACCCCACCCCACCCCACCCCCCTACCCCGGCAGAGCCACTCCAGCACCCACCCCCCAGCAGAGCAGAAGCTCAGGAACTGCAGCTGAGGCTAGATATTTGTTGTTTTCGAAATGCAGTCGTTACCTAACAGTTTTTGCAGATAGGTTTCTAGTGGGATCAAAAGAGAGCATCTTGACGCCCCAGGGGGGTCTGGGCGGGATCCGGACAAGGAGCCGGACAAAAGTGCAGCCCCAGGAATCTCTAGGAAACCTTAAGAATTCTTAGGAATCCTTAGGAATCCATTCCCAGAACATCATTCCCACGCCACATGTTCAATGCCTGGAGGCCACTGTAGGCCATGTCGTGTTCTTCGTCGTCCCAGAACACCATTCCCAGG